ACTTTTCAACTTAATAAGTCCTGCAGGTCATTCTCCCACATGGCTGCCGAGCCGACACTCCCACCACCAGTGCATAGGGGCTCCTGTTCCCTCTACATGCCTGCCATCACGTGGCATTATCCATTTTCTAATTTTTGCCAATCTGGTGGGTGAAAAGTGGTATCTAGTTACCTTAATTTGCATTTCTCCAATTACTAATGAGTTTGACCACCTCTTTATATGCTTGTTGTGCATTTAGGTTTCTGTTTCTATGTATTGCCGGTTCATATCTTTGCCCATTTTTCTATTGTGTTCCTGTATTTTCCTTGATCATTTGCAGGAGTTCCTTGTATATTCCCCTGTCAGTTTTAAACATTATAAATATTTCTCCTGATCTATCATCTGTCTATTGACTTGTTCCTGGTGTCCTTTATTGAACAGACATCTTTCATTTCGATGTAATCAGACCCATCAGTGTTTCACCATGTGGTTTGTGCTTTTGAGGTTTTAAGAAATCCTTCCCCACCACTAGGAAACAAAGACAGTCCCCTTCATTATCTTCTTAGACATCAGAGTGTTCCTTTCCATTTAGGTTTTATTCACCTGGAGTCTAGTTTTATTTCTTTGAAAAAATAAAACTTTAACAAGAAAATATGACAAAATATTATTAGTTGTTAATTCTGGATAATGGACTATACATGCATATTTATAGTACTTTTCTATTGCATTCATTGTGCAAAATACAGGTAAGTTAAAATAAGAAAAGAAAAACAATCTATAATTCTTCTACTTGGACATAACTACTAGCAACATTTTTCTGTGCCTTGTATACATATGTGTGTGCATGCGTGTGTGCTTATATAAGCATGGAGTCATACAACATATATTTTTTCCCTTAATAAATCATTTCCTGAGTGCATTTCCCACCCTAGTCTCTGCATTCCTGCAACACCATAAGCCACTGTTTTCTTTCTCAACAAAGAGTATTCATTTTTATTCTTGTTGTGTAGTTGTCTCTCCTCTCCTGTAATTTAACTTTGTAATCAGGTTCTTGGTCAAGTTCCTCTTGTGGTTATCTCACACTGACTAGCTGTCAGGCCTGAAGAATTCTTCTTTTTTCATCTAGAAAAATAGAGGCCATACACGTTCTGCTTTCTTGAATAGTGAGTGAAAGCCTTGCTTTTCCTTAACTCCTGTCTCAGAGCATTGCACTTGCTGTTCCCTCTGCCAAGAATGTTCTTTCCTGAGTTATCTGCTGGTTCCCTGTAAGTTCTGCAGAGTGTGATCACTGTGAGGCCTTCCCTGGCGATCTTATTTAAATTCATAACCCTCTCCCATGTCCTAAGCCTGTCTCTGATTTATTTTTCTCCAAAGCACTATCACATTCTCATGACCACACTCTCTTTGTATAAGTACATGACACACACAAACTCACATATCTATTACTACATATCTCATCCTTCTAGAACATAGAGTTCATGCAAGCAGAGAATTTGCTTGTTTTTCTCAATGATGTATCCCACTGTGGAATACACATAGTGGACAGTCAATAAATATGTGTTAAATCTGTTTAGTCCCAGTAAGAAGCATATAGATGAGTTGTCCTGGGCAAGAAGCATCTGGACTTGATATAAGGGGAAAAAAATGTCAGCCTGGTGTGCAGGGAAGGCTGCATGGAGTAGGTGTAGCTTCCATACAAAAAAAAAAGAGTGGGCCAATAGAGAGAGGGAGAGGGAAGGAGAGTTTCTGAGGTAAAGTTGAGGAGGAAGGAGCCAGCAAGGTGTGTGGTAGAAGAGGCTGAGCTTTGCAGCCCTCTCCAGCATTTCCTCACTGTGTCCTGGGCAAGTTACTTTCCTTCTCAGGGCCTTGGCTACCTCCTGGAGAAGTCAGACTAGATGCTCTGTAGGGATCAGTATTTGATCGCTGTACTGAAGGGCCTAGAGCAGCTACTGGTACTGGGCAGAACCAGTTCGACTAGTACAGACCAGTTCAAGCCAGTTCAAACCATCTGATATCAGTACGAACCAGATTAATCCAGATAAAGCTAACACAAATGAGAAGAAAGCCAGTCAGGGTGGATGAGAGTCCCATGAGCAAGTAGCTCCATCTAAGTTGCCTTTCAGTCCAGATTCTTTCATCATCTCAGTTAGCCAGGGTAGTGGCCTTCCCTGGTTCACACACCCCAGACAGAAGAGACTAAAGGGGATCTGTGGGCTTCTTCCTCATCATTAAGTGTGCCAGGTGGAGGGCAGCTTCATCACTTCTCTCAACTTGCTTCTTAACTCCTTGCTTCCTGCCCCCTCACAGTATCTTGTCTTAATGATTTTCTCCTTTGCCTTTGATTCTTCTGAGTCCCTGTTTTGCTTTTGCCAGATATATTTTTGCCCTCTTACTCTACTTTCTCTCTGCCTACAGACCAAAATGGTGAGCCCTTGGGAGTCTGGCCCATTTTCACTGGGACAGTGAAACTGGCTTTTCTAGAATTCCTAGCTAGGGGTGGGAGCAGGTGGGAGTCTTAAATCATTTTAAGACTGAGTCAGCAGTCAGAAGGCTGGTGCATATTGGGTGACTTTGGCCTTTCTGTGGCATTACCACAGTCCTAAGATGGAAAGTTGGGGCTTCTACTCTCAAGGGCTTTTCCAGGACTTTTCCCAATGCTCCCCCCTCACCCCTCGGCTATTCCTCTGCAAAGTGGCGGGGACGGAGGTTATTCGTAAAGATCCTCAGGATTTTGTTAACTTCCTTTCATTATCTGGCTTCTACTGAGGAGTCTTTCTAAGCCTCTCAAGAATCTTCTGTTTCTTCCTTTGGTCATATGACATGTGGTTTTGTACCCTTCTTTGTTGGTTGTTGCTGGTGAGCTTTTTTTTTTTTTTTTCACTGTTCTCTGTCATTTCATAGTTATTTGAGAAAGAAGATTGATTCTGTGATCTGTCTTCAGTGCACAATCTTTATCAAGAAGTTCCCACCAACATCTATTATAGCGCTGTCCATAGAAATATATGAGCTATACAAGTGGAAAGATGAGACTAAATGGGCAGCTCCTGTCCAGAGGTGACATGAGGAGGTGGAGTGGGTCAGGAGCTGGTTGAACGGACACGGGAAATCAGGGGTGGAAAGGAGGAATGTGCTGTCAGAGTATAGGGAGAGCAATTAGGGTCACATAACAATGTGTGTATAAATTTTTGTATGAGAGACTAACTTGAATTGTAAACTTTCACTTAAAGTACAATACAATAAAATAAATCTTTAAAAAAAACAAAAATATATGAGCTATATGTGAAATTTAAAATTACCTAGTAGCCACATTCAAAAAAGTAAAGAGATTAAATTAATCATATGTTTTATTTAACCATTATATCTAAAATATTATAATTTAACATGTAATAGTATTTAAAAATACTAGTGAGACATTTTACATTCCTTTTTCTCCGTACTAAGTCTTCAAAATTTGGTGTGTATTTTAAACTTATAGCACATCTCAGTTCGGACTGGACACATTTCAAGTGCTTAATAGCCACACGTGGCTAGTACCTACCGTATGGGACACTGCAGGTCTGGAAATAATCGGAATCTCCAACTCTACAAGTCCCTCAGCCACTGAAAAAGACAACCACCTTCCCTTCTCCCTTCTTTGCCACTTTTTCTGTTACACACCTATCCCCGCTATATGAAAAGGCACCTGTAAAATTTATTCTAAGGCTGGGACTTTATAAGTTCACCAGAAGACATAGCCATTGTGCTGTGAGAGCTTTATAAGCTAAGAGAAACGAAAAGGACACGTATAAACTCCTTAGAGACAACTGAGCTAAAATTGCATTCACACATTTATATTATAAATATAAATTATGTTCCTCATTAAAAACGACACATACAACTTTTTTTTCCTTTCCTTTGCAATGTAAGTCTCCTAAGGAAGCCGTGTGGCACTCTGGTATGAACAGTGAACTCAATATTAATGGCTCGATTTTTGAGTCTTTTGACGTTTGCCTGACCTTTAACCAATTTGAACCTCAGTTTCCGCCTTCGTAAGATGAGGATAATAATAGCCTCTTTACCAATCTCACAAAATAAGTTATGAAATTCCGAAGAGAGAATAAAAGGGAAGGACTTTATCACTACAAAACCCTACACAAGTGTGGTGGCCTGTTATTTGTGTTATTCCTTCGGATGCAGGATCCTGCAGCCAAATTCCACAAGGGTGAAGAGGTAGCGTTTAAACCAGTCAGAACCCCAGAGGCAGGAGGCTTTCTCACCCTAAGTTGGGTATCCAGACTCTGGAGGAGAAGCGGGGAACTGCAGCCCAGTTACACTGGCCCTGGAGACACCGAACCGACCAAACCCCCAACGCCAGGCCTCATGGAGGCGAACGCTAAGTCGTCAATTTCCGACGGTGCTGAGCAAACTAGGGAAGGGAACCGGGAGCGGGCAGACTGCGGAGTGGTCGGAGGAAAACGAACAGGTATTGGCGTGAAGGTCAGGCAGAGGAAAGGGTATACACAGAGCAGGGGCGACCCAGACGAGAAATGGGGTTCCCCCTGGATAGTGGGCCCCAGGGCAGGGTCGAAGCGGGGTGATTGATGCTTCAGTGACTAGACTGGCGATGAGAGGGGGTCGGGGCGAGGAGGTCACCGCGGAGGCTGTCATCCAGGTGCGGTGCTGGCGGCCTCCGGAGGGAACCTTCGGGAAGGAAAGGTACACGTTTCGGCTACCCGGCCCAGCCCGAAGACTCGGATGACCGGGCTTCCTCTGCGCCCAATCCCGCTCCGCGCCCCGCCTCTTCAGGCCTATCCCCGCCCACTCCCCCTCCTCCTCGGGGCCGAGCTCCGCTCCCTCCCGCGCCCCGCGCGGGCGGGGTCCCGGCTCGCCATTGGCCGGGCCCGCAGGTACGCCGCCTCTCCATTGGCCGGGAGCCTTCAGGTGGCGCGCTCGTGAGTGGTCGAAAGGGCGGGTTGCTCCCGCCCTCGGCCTCAGGCGCGGCGCGCGATTGGCCCTCGCGGTCACGTCTTCTCCGCTGGTCTGGCCTGGGCAGTGTGGCGTCTGTCCGGGCAGCGGCGGCGGTAGCAGCGGCGAGTGGCAGGTGAGCTCCGGACGGGCGGCGCCAGGCCCAGCGTTGCGGCCGGTGGGGCCTCCCCTCACGCCGGCTGTGGCGGGGCGGCGGGGAGAGGCCAGCCACGGGGCCCGGGGAGCCGGGACTGGGAGGCGCGGGCCGCCTGGCCGCCAACGGCCGCTGTGAGGGGAGGTCCGGCCCACAGGCCCGGAGTCCCCTTGTGTCCCCAGACCCCACAGATCGTGCGCGCCGGGCGGAGGCGCGCTCGGCTCTGCAGACCCCTGAGCCAGGCAGCGGACCTCGGCCCCTCAGGCCCCCTACCCCTAACCCTCGACCCCCTGGCCTCCCTATCCTTTCTTGCACTCCTCTCGTGTTAGTGGGCCCGGTGAGCCGGCCAAGCCCCAGCCTCGCACGACGCCCCGGTCCCGAACGCGCCCCTAGTGACGGCGGGACGGCGGCTCCCATGGGACGTCTTCGCGGGGTGTTTGCACCTGGTTCCCGGGCGCGCAGATCTCGGAGGTTGTGTCCCCATTGGTGGTTTATAGCGCCCACGCGACGGGGACATCTTGGGCTCCGGGGTGCCCCAGGCCAGCCTTCTCTAGATGCCAGGAGGCGAGCCTGTTGCTGACCTGTCCTGCAGCGCCGGCATCCTTCAGGTGGAGGGGCGGTGCCCGGAGCAGGGTCTACAGGTGCATCCCGGGTGCCAACCCATGCAGCTGGGATAGCAGCTGAGATGCTCAGTTATCCAGGACTTCAAGGAGGGGCCCTGCTTCCTGGCAAGATGAGGGCCCTTGGCTTAGAGTTGAAGGGGCATCCTGGCCCCACAGGGGACCCAGGAGCACCCATTTTGACACCTGGCGTTCCAGCAATGCAGGCAGCTCTAAAATACAAAGTCCCCCAGTTGGATTTACTGGTGTTTCTGTAAATTCATCACCTTGACAGAATGCACTTTGAAGTTGCCTGCTGAGGCAGAGGAAACAAGTATTCATTGACTATCAGACAGGCCCTGCTTCATCCCTGCCTACCTCACAGGTGTGCAGTCTTGGCCTCTGGATTATACATGTGAAGTGCCTAGAACAGAGTCTGGCATGTAATAAGCACTCAGTGATATTACTGTACTTTATTCCTATTCCTCAGGGCATATGGGAACTAAGATTTGGTATCTTTGCATGTCAAATCTCTTCATCCATTGATGGACATTTGGATGGTTTCTACTTTTTGGTTATTGTGAATAGTGCGACTGTAAACATCCATGTACAACTTTTTGTTTGGATACCTGTTTTCAATTCTTTTGGGTATATACATAGGAGAGAATTGCTAGGTCATGTGGTAATTCTGTGTTTAACTTGTTGAGGACCCACCAAACTGTCTTCCACAGTGACCGTACCATTTTACATTCCCAACAGCAAAGTATGAGGGGTCCAATTTCTCCATATCCTTCCCAACACTTGTTATATCCCCCCCGTTTTTTTGTTTGTTCTTTTATTCTTTTTCAAAATTTTTGTTTTGGTGAAATATGTGTAACAAAACTTTTCAACCATTTTTATGTATACAATTCAGTGGCTTTAGCAACATTCACTGTATTGTGCAATAATCACCAGTATCCCTTTCCAAATTTTTTCATCACCCTTAACAAAAACTCTGTATTGCTTAAATAATACCACCATCTCTTCTTCCCATCAGCCCCACGTAACCACTGATAAATGCTGGTTTCTATACATTTGCCTATTCTGGATATTTCATATAAATGGGATCATAACAATGTTTGTACTTTTGTGTCTGTTTCACTCAGTTCCCACCCCCTTTTTTTAATGGCCATACTAGTGGGTGTACAGTGGTGTGTCATTGTGGTTTTGATTTGCATTTCCTTGATGACTGATGATTTTGAGCATCTTTTCACGTGCTTTTTGGCCATTTGTAAACTTTCTTTGAAGAAATGTGTATTCAAGTCCTTTGCCCATTTAAAAAAAATGTTTTTATTGTACTTTAGGTGAAGGTTTACAGAACAAATAGTTTCTCATTAAGCAGTCAGTACACGTATTGTTTTATGACATTGGTTAACAACCCCACGACATGTCAACACTCTCCCTCCTTGGTCTTGGAGGACCTTTTTTTTTGTGAAAATATACATAGCCAAAGATATACCATTTCAAAAATTTCTACATGTACAATTCAGTGACGTCAATTACATTCTTCCAGTGGTGCTGCTATTCTCACTTTAGATGAAGGTTTACAGAACAAAATAGTTTCTCATTAAACAGTTACGTATTGCCCTATGACAATGGTTAACAACCCCACTACATGTCAACACTGTCCTTACTCAACCTTGTCTTTGCCCATTTTTTAATTGGGTTGTTTGTCTTTTTATTGTGGAGTTGTAAGAGTTCTTTATATGTTCTGGATACAGACCCTTATCAGATACATGATCTGCAAATATTTTCTCCCATTCTGTGGGTTGTATCTTCACTCTCTTCATAGTGTCCTTTGATGCACAAGATTTTTTACTTTTGATGAAATCCAGTTTATTTTTTCTTTTGTCGCTTGTGCTTTTGGTGTCATATCTAAGAAGCCATTGCCAAATCCAAAATCATGAAGATTTACCCTTATGTTTTCTTATAAGTATTTTATAGTTATAGTTCTTAAATTCAGGTCTTTGATCCATTTTTAGTTAAATTTTATATATGGTGTGAGGTAATGGTCCAGCTTCATCCTTTTGCAGGTGGAGATTCAGTTGTCCCAACACCATTTGATGAAAAGACTGTTCTTTCCCCATTGAATGGACTTTACACCCTTGTCAGAAATCAGTTTGTCATAGATGTATGGGTTTACTTCTGGACTCTCAATTCTATTCCATTGATCTATATCCTTATGCCAGTACTACAGTGTTTTGATTACTGTCAGGAGGTTTGAGTCCTCCAACCTTATTCTTTCTCAAGATTGTTTTGACTGTTCAGGGCCCCTTGCAATTCCATATGAATTTAAGGATCAGCTTTCCATATCTGCAGAAAAGACCATTGAGATTTTGAGAGGGATTGCATTGACTCTGTTGATCACTATGGGGAGTATTGCCATCTAACAATATTAAGTTTTCTAATCCATGAACATGGGCTGTCTCTCCACTTATTTAGATCTTCTTTAATTTCCTTCAGCAGTATTTTGTAGTTTTGCACCTTCTTGGTTAAATTTATTCCTAAGTATTTTATTCATCTTGATGCTATTATAAATGGAATCATTTTCTTCATTTCTGTTTCAGATTGTTCATTAGTAATGATGTTAGCTGTAGGTTTTTCATAAATACTCTTTATCATGTTGAGAAAGTTTGCATCTATTCCTAGTTTGTTGAGTGTTTTTATCATGAAAAAAAAAAAAATTGATTGCCTTTGAGTAGGTTCTGACTCATGGTAACTACCCCATAAGGTTTTCTTGGCTGTAATCTTTATGGAAGCAGATTGCCAGACCTTTCTTCTGTAGTGCCACTTGGTGGGTTCAAACCACCAACCTTTAGGTTAGTAGTTGAGTACTTAACCATTTGCATCAATGCTTTTTCTGTATTAACTGAGATGATCCTGTGGTTTTGGCTAACTGCTTCTCAAACAGATTTGCAGCAATCGATTCATCCTGGATTTTTTGCTTCCAAAGGTAAATGGGTGCCACTGATTCTTGAGCCTTTGTAGGTTCCATGATGAAAACTGGATTATTTGTCAGCATTCTCCAATGCAAACTTATGATTCAGCTTTTTCTGCTCTTCTAAGTCAGTTTCCATTCATCCATTTGCTTTCTATCTTCCAAAGTTTTCTTACTATTGTCTTTTCTCCCTTTATTTTTGTTCTGTGGATATATGCCCTTTTAAAAAATCCTCCCTTTTTTAGAGGGGTGTCTGGAAGATTGTGAAGGCTAATATTTGTGTTCAGTGCACCATTTTTAACCGGAAATTCCTGGGTGACCTATTTTAAAAGAATGCTGATATTAATGGCGTATGTTTTCAGCTCATAATCAGTCTGTCCTGGTCCTAGATGGTCTCCTAGCAGCTCTGAACATAACATCAATTTGAGTTTACTTACAGTACATGCCAGGCAGCATTTTTTAGTAGTAGAAGCACTGGTAAGGAGCCCTTGTGGTTCAATGGTTAAGCGCTTGTCTGCTAACTGGAAGGTTGGTGCTTCACTATGAGTCAGAATTGACTCAGTGGCTCCCAGCAACAGCAATTAAAGCATAACACAGGATGGAACTGTACTTCAGGGGTTGCAGTTCTTGCCCTTCCTTAAACATTCCAAGGTGAGGCGAGGGTGCAGGGACTGCAGTAGCTTCACAAGGCCCACTGACGGTCAGGCCAAGTGGTCCTGAGCACACCAGAATAGGACTTCCCTCGTCTAAGTTCACGGGGCAGAACGGGAACTGGAGACCAAGGTTGGAAAGCAAGAGTGAGGTCGGGTTTACGTTGGCCCTGAAACCGCAGCAGCTGTGAGTATTCCAGCAGGTAATTGTGTCATTGCTGCCTGCACGAGGGCTGCAGTAGCATTTAGTGGATTGAAAACAATCATTTTTTTCTCCTTCGCTTCGCTTCCTAAATTTGGAACTCACTGCTATTTTGGATGCTTTCCCCGGGTGATTTTCAGATAGAGGGGAGGAGACCTGCTACACCTGCGATTGAATTCGTTGACTTTCATCAGGACAAAGTAAACTCACAGTTGACAGATGAAAAATACAGAACATAATGTTGCTGCTTACAATTATTATATGTTGTAATTGACTCTACTTCATTAAGTACCTTGTACAATTCGTTAGTTGGTTTTATAGCTTTAATTATGTCTATAATTAAGCATGCCGGTTAGGTTGGGTGCTTTGTTTTTTGTGTGGTGTCCCAGGGGCCGTGGGAATGGTCATGTTGTTGTTAGGTGCCGTCATTTTGGTTCCGACTCTTAGTGACCCCTGTGTACAACAGAATGAAATGCTGCCTGGTCCTGCACCATCCTGACAGTTGTTGCTGTGTTTGAGCCCATTGTTGCAGCTTTGCAGCTACTGTGTCAATC